TCCAAATATAAAAATTTCCAAATATAAAAATTTCCAAATATAAAAATTTCCAAATATAATAATTTCCAAATATAATAAATTTCTGAATATAATAAATTTCTAAATGAATAATCTCGAAATACACTAAATTTCAAAGTTTAAAGTTCACGATGCCCAGGAATAATTAGCGAAGGAAACAGACCTGAACGAGCGAGACAACGATGGACGCCACTTCCGGCGCCATCGAGCTACCGGCAGCCTGGAAGATCGTCACCGTGTAGAAGATCACAGCGTTCACACCGGATGCTTGTTGGAAGAACATCATACCGAACGACGCTATCATAGATTTTCTAGTCACCGGATCTTTCGCCATATCGCCGATAGTGGGTTTCTTTCCGCTACATTCATCCAACGCCCTTTGCATTTCATTTAATTCTTGGTTAGGATCGTAGTCCTGTCCTCTGAATGCGGCGAGCGCCACCGTGGCGTCTTGCTTTCTTCTTTGAGTCTGAACAAATCATTAGTCAAAGTTACTTCGATTGATTCCTCGTGGAAAGAATTGGTTAGATTTCAATTAGAACTCTCCATTTATCAAATCACTGTTGCAACTGAACCTTCTTCTCCTTAAATACTGAAAATACTTAGTTGCAGTATTTCGAATACAAACTTAACTCCAGAAAAATGACAAATTATGTCACCTTTTTCTGGACACAATCCTTTCATTTCTATTCCAAAAATTCCTAATTTTCATAAAAACTTGCTCAACGTAAAAAAAGTTAACTATCTTAATCTTGAAAAAAGTGAGAAATTATATCACCTCAGTTAGGACGCACTCCTTTCGTTTAAATAACACTGTTAACTTAATTATTTCCACAACAATTCCCGAAAACTTTCTCAACGTAAGAAAACCCAACTTATCTGAATCGTCGAAAAAAAAAAAATAACAAATTATGTCACCATTTTCAGAATACATTCCCCACTAATTTCCGCAGCATCCACCGAATCATACAGAATTCAGCGTTAAAGTGAGCATATTAATCCGGAGAGAAACGGGATGAGAAAGTTTGCCAATATAAACAAGGGAAGGTGGCTGATAAAAATGCAAATTACGCACCACGAGCCAGACGGGAGATTCAGGCATCCAGTAGAAGGTTGCCAGAAATGCGACGATGATACCGGCGCACACTATAGCGAAGGTGGTGTAGTTGAGAACGCTTCCTAGAACAAACGCGAGGAAGATCCCAAGGGTGAGGAAAAGTTGAAACAGCGCACCTAACGTTCCTCTGGTCGAGACTTCGGCGATTTCGGAAATGTACGTAGGTCCAACGACGCAACCGGCACCTACGCCCATTCCGGCGATAAATCTCGCGATGTACAAGAGTTTCACTTCCGTCGAGACGACGATGATGCCCCAGGAGAGTAGAAACGGGACGGAGAGTAGAAGAAGAGACTTTTTTCGTCCCATTTTGTCCGCCATTGATCCGGATGGAAACGCACCGGCTATTGCGCCTACAGCGAGCAACGAACTGATCCAGGAACCTTCGTTCGCTGTGATCGGTAACCAGGAGTCTTCCGCGTAGAGTTGAGGAAGCACCGGTGAGGTCCATGCTAGGGCTGAGCCGACTCCGGCCACTAACATGCATCCTGGAAAATCCGTTTTTTTTTTTTAGATTAACCCTTTTTGTGTTTAGATTGAGAGAAGCTCGAGCAGAGTTAATTCTCTCAGTTTGTGCTTAAAATCTAAAATAAATTGTGAATGGGTTGAAAATTTAAAGGGTTAAGTTGGTGTTTAGCCTTTCACAAGCAGAGCTAATATCTCCCTGTCTTCTTTAACTCTTTTTGTTTGTGATTAAAGTCTAAAATAAATAGTAGTCGGTGGGATAAATTGTGAATGGGTTGAAAAATTGAAGGGTTAAGTTGGTGTTAAGCCTTTCACAAGCAGAGTTAACATCTATCTTCTTTAACTCTATCAGTTTGTGTTTAAGATCTAAAGTAAATAGTAGTCGATGGGATAAATTGTGAAAGGGTTAAATTGATGTTAACCCTTTCACATCTCTCTATCTTTCTTAATTCTCTCAGTTTGTGGTTAAGGTCTAGATTGAACAGCAGTCGATGCTCTGTTTTGAAATAAATTGTGAAAGGGTTAAGTTGATATTAACCCTTTCACAAGCAGAGTTAATATCTCTCTATTTTCTTTTAACTCTATTCGTTTGTGCTTGAGATCTAAATTAAATAGTAGTCGATGCTCTGTTTAAGTCTGTCTTGGGATAAATTGTGAAAGGTTTAAGCTGATATTAACCCTTCCACAAGCAGAGTTAACATCTATCTTCTTTAACTCTATCAGTTTGTGTTTAAGATCTAAAGTAAATAGTAGTCGATGGGATAAATTGTGAAAGGGTTAAGTTGATGTTAACCCTTTCACATCTCTTTATCTTTTTTAATTCTCTCAGTTTGTGGTTAAGGTCTAAATTGAACAGTAGTCGATGCTCTGTTTGAGTCTGTCTTGGGACAAATTGTGAAAGGATTAATGTGCACGTGAATGGAAAATGGTCGAAGCGGTGTTTTTAAAAAATTCGAGTAAGCATCGATAACTGAGTTTTTGAAAGGATCTAGATTGAACAGTAGTCGATGCTCTGTTTGAGTCTGTCTTGGGACAAATTGTGAAAGGATTAATGTGCACGTGAATGAAAAATGGTCGAAGCGGTGTTTTTAAAAAATTCGAGTAAGCATCGATAACTGAGTTTTTGAAAGGAAAAGAATTTATCGGTGATTGGATTCGTATTTTCAAGTTGGGAATTCTTGTGTGTCAATTTTGATAATCGTGGGAATCGATTGTGAAAGAAACTTACGTAACGAGTCCATTATCTGCTGATAATTGCAGGCTACAATGTTACTTCTATCTATTACACTTAAATTCAATTATTAAATTGAGTCACGACAGTGATGTATACTTGGAGATAACGCAGACGAGTTGCCTGAAAACTGGCGATTGCATTGAATAAAACGGGAGGTAGATAATGTACACGTGTGGAATAAATTGCGGTATGAACATTCGTGTGTGTAAGTATAATTGGTTGACCTCAGGAACGTCGATCGACCAATGAGAAAGGAGACGTTGTTCCGATTTGGAGGAATTTTAGGGAGGATTTGAAGATACGACAGAAGGACAGTGATTTCGTTGTCTTAGTTCGAAAAGGAACGCGTTCCTTTTCGCTTCGAGGTTTATCGAAAGTAATGTGCGATTTTATACGAACACGCTGAACGAGTTAGATATCGCTTGGAGAGGATGGGGTAAGCTGGAAGAGAGGTGAATTGAAGCGAAGACGGGAGCAAATGAGTGGAGAAATTAGAATTTTTAGTTTAGAATTCTTAAATTTGAAAATATTCAAAGTTTCAAATGTTCAAAGTTAGAAATATTCAAAGTTTCAAATATTTCAAAGTTTCAAATATTTCAAAGCTTCAAATATTTCAAAGCTTCAAATATTCAAAGTTTCAAATTTTTTAAGTTTCAAATATTTCAATGTTTCAAATATTCAAAGTTTCAA